GAACACTTGCATTATTATTCTAAGGTTCACAGTCACTAGAGCAGTCACAGCACAAGCCATTGCAAAAAGTCAAATACCAAAAACCCATAAACCATTGTTGAACTCCAAAACAATGTGCTATATACGAACTGTTACTTAGTTTGTCACAGGCCCCTGACTTTCATCAAGCTTCTGCACCAGCACCAGTGACTGAGTCAGATGATAGAACCTCTGAGCTACAGGAAGCTTTAAGCAAGTTAGGTCATTTACTTAATATGTGATATGAGACTTAATTAAACAACAAAAAACAATCTAGCCTCAAATACTACAGAAGAGAAAAACAGGTCTAACTGTGTCTGACACCTAGAGTTTGAGACACTAATATAAATTACTTATTCAGCATTTCAGTTGTATGATAGGTTATTTTAATTTGCAAGATGGTGTCATTTGACTAAACTACCAAAATGCTTCACTTTTTCTTTTTCTACTGCTACTACGGAAATTGTTACTTACTAACTACACTGCAGTTAAAAAGTGAAAAATGAAAATGAATTCTAGTAGCTGGAGTCAAATGATGACGTGGTGTTAGTCTTGTACCAAAAATTAAGGTAAGAGCATTACCAGTAAATAACAATTTAACTCACCTGGAGATGTAAGAGCTACGTCTGTAGGTTGAGTATCAAAATTCTTCAATGAACACTCCCTTTCTATTCCACAACTCTTTCTCTTTGGAGAGAAAATTACATATGCAAAGTATAGAACCAATACGCTAAAACCAAATGCTTGAATGGTCAAGTTGTCAAGACCCAGAGATTGCAGCATACTATGTTGTTCATTTTCTTGGCAAAATATAGTTGAAGACACTTGCTTAACCTTGGAAATAAAATGGAGTCAATGCAGTGAGACATCTTGATAGAAATTTAACCTGCTAGTATTTTGGTCCTTTAAAACTTGTAGACCACTATCCCTAAATGACTGACTGATCAGCAAGAAAATATAAAACAAACGGGTAATATGCTTATTATAAGAGCTCGTTACAGACCTTGTTAACAAAGTTATACAGTTAGATTTACAGCATAAATTTAGCGCTGTTAATGTCATGATCAAACTACACTAATTGATCTCTAGGCCAGAGAGATGTCTGTTGATGTCCAAGGACGGCCTTATATGCATAAGGTGATTGAATTTCTTGAAAACCACAGTTTTATTACACCATCTATACTACCATCTAAGGCATTATCAGGGTCAGGTATATATTGGATGTTATTGGTTGGGAAACCTGATAAATTATATACAGTAAACTAGTGGAGCGGTTGTATGTTAGGAGTGCAAATGATATAACAAAAATGTGGGAGATGGGAGCCAGAACTGGTGATGTTACAAGATGGGAAGTTATGTGTTTAAATAAGAAAAAGAAGTGTTGATAATGGAGACCATGCGTAGTTGTATTGGGAGATGGGAGTGCAATTATGCAACAAGATTAGGCCAAAATGGAAACATTGTGCAATAGGCTGAGCTGATGATGCTGCAAGATGGGGAAATTGTGTCCCTGACTAGCAGACTGAAGTGCTAATGACACCATGACAAGATAGGGAGTCAATGGATATCAGTATGACTGTCAAGGTTGGGATATGGGAGTGCTCATGTGGCAAGATGAAAGAAAAAGGGAGAAAGGAGTGCTGTACAAGTGACAAAATGGAGAGGTTGGATGGGACAGCTGATATGACAGATGGAGAAGCTTTGATCAGGAGATGGAACAGCAGATAATATGAGTGCTGACCAAATGTGACAAAATCAAGAGGCTGAAACATGAACGCTAATGACGTGACAAGATGGGGAGGCTGTGTGGTTGGAAGTTTGCAATGCTGATGAAGCAAGATGAAAGACCTGCTAAAGGATATATGAGACTAGGGATGGGTAACATAATGACATGACAAGACAGAGGCGCTGTATGGATAGAAGATTTGGAACATAGGGAAAATGATATGTAAAGGTAGAAGTACAGTTGCGAGGAGTTATAATGTGGCAAGATAGAGCCCAGGGAGGTGATAGACCTGATGTGACAGTATGGAGGAGGGAGAGCTGATGACCTGACAGGACAGAGGTAGTATATCTATGGGAGTCGAGACCTGATGATGTGGGATGGATGGGAGTAGGGCTGTCAGGAACATACAAAACCTTACAGTGAGACAAGATGGTTGGTATATCAGATGAGCTCCTGATGATGTGACAGGATGGAGACGACATATAGAGAAGGTTTGGACTAATTTTGGTGTTAAGAGGGGGTAGGGAATGAAGAAAGACATTGAAAAGAAGCAAACACACCGAGCAATGGAATAGAAAGTGCTAACTGTTAGATATGTGCAGTCAGGTGTCTTTTAAACTTGGGTAATATTTAAGTTTATGTCTGGGTTTATGGCTTTAGTGGGCTCACTGAAGCAGGCTGTTGAAATTTCCTACAGGCTACTTACTTAAGCGTATGTAAAAAAGGACGTTGTGTCAGACGACGGTAATGTAGGGTGAAATAATTACTTACCAACAAGCTCATGATAAAGATAACGTTTTCCATTTGGCAATCCTAATTTGGACACAGCCGACCACAGTAGACTTATAGAGAACAAAACACCTAGTTAAATACTAAATACTTGAGACAATTGTTTCCCAATTACAGGAAATCAGGACATTTTAAAAATTGACTTCAAAGTTCGTACTGGTTTTTCTAAGTGCGTGTTAAATTGAAGCCCAAACAGAAAAAAATACTTTGTTCAAGAAGCTTAAATATTATCTACATCTTCATTTCATTACGTCGATAAAAAATCGTGAGACATCAAACTAACTTTTCTTAAAACATATATTACATAACGAGAAAAAATAAGAACGTAAAAAGTTTCAAAAAAATAACATGAATTCCTAGTCGCTACCTCGACATACTTTAAATTTGAAATAGTTTGCTAAAATGGTTTAAAAACTTTGTAAAGACCTACAATTAAAAATGTCTGAGGGTAATGAGTTCCATTCGCGTATAGATCTAGGGGAGAAAATGAAAACTTTTAAACGGTAATTTTGGGTATTCTGTATCTAAATATAACCTCCAAAAGTCCAATCGATGAGAACAAATAATGATTCGATCAGCAAGTTTTTGAAGTCTACATTTCCACGTTTCGTGATTGTTTAAAACACATTAAAAGTTAATTTGTTCAAGGAGCTTTAGTAATATACCTAAATTACATGTTTTAACCCTACCTTTCAGAGTTTAAAGTCAGAAATTCCAATCGACGAGGAAAATATGATTCGATTAGCAAGTTTTCGAAATCCACGACTTCCCAGAATTGAACATGTGGCGGGGGATTCCCCGAAATGGATTCCTCCGTCCAATCAGGTTTGGGTTTCAATCAAAGGAGACATCTCAGAGTTAAAACCGAACTTTCGCTTACTGATAAACGAAAAGCGAAACCTTTCACTACTTCACAGTTGTTAGGTTGGAGAATTGAGGAGCTAGGAGGTCAAAATATAGTAATCATGAGTTCAGTGGACAAAAACAGTAGCAAAATGGTAAATCTTAATCGTTGTCTTCCTTTTGACGGAGTTATTTTCTGTTAGGGAAAGATTCGCGATGTTTATTTCATTTTCACTTTCGTAAGCTCACGAAGCCAGTTTTTAAATTTGCAAAATTATTGGTATCGTACACCTTTTCGATTTCGATACCTGTTTATAAGTACCAGGAAAGCAAGCTGTGGAAGACTTAAGACACGTTTATTTAATTTGTAGAATGCTGATAGTGAGGATGAAGTTTCCGAAAGCGAAGAGACAGTCGAGGAACTGCTGGCGATAGGGAATGATTCTGTGCAACATAATGATTTAGAAGACTCTGAAAATGAAGCATTGGCGACTCTACAGAAGGAGAAAGCACCGACATACATGTCCGTAACAAATTTTTCCGGGGTTGAGGGAGCTCTTTTCAGCGTCATTGAAACGTACCCCCTCCCTTCACTACCGAGCACGTCGTTAGAAGATAGCACCTTACCAGAACAAAATGGAGGCAACCGTACATGTAGTTCTCATCAATCCGGATCTCTCGTAAGGGGACGTTCTGACGGAGAGAAGACACCCGTACAAAGTAAGCTCGAAGAATCCAAGAACTTTTGTTTAAGTTTGCTTTGCTTTGTTCCTTGCCTATAAAAGTTGCAATGCTAACTCACTGAAGACTGTCTCTGTCTTTTACATTAAGATTCTCGTACTTCAACGTAGTCGATATTATCCGTTATTATCAGTAAAAATTCGATCATTTACCCTTGCTTGTCTGGTTTGGGCTCTTCATGTGTGATGCTTTCCTGCTAAAACTTCAGTCGACAAAATTGTGAGAACACTGAACAATATATATGCTTTACTTTGCGTAACAATCTTAACAGACAACTGCTTCCATTTCAGTGTCTCAGTATTTCACGTATAAGAACAAACAGTAATTTTCAATTTAGGCCACCCGCCCACTAACACTTTTGATTCCGATTACATATCAATCCCTTGCAGATTTTTGTGAGCGCTCAGTGCAGAGTCCATGCCCAGGAATGATGGCGAGACTGTTTCTCTTAGAAAGAACACACCAAGAAAGGAATGAGAAGTTGTATATCCTGTTTATAATTCCCGAAGAGAAATACCAGGTAAAATGTTGTACAACTGTAGATTCAAGCAACGTTTAGCACTGTTAACTTACTTTCAAATCCTTCTGACAAAAACTAATTCTAATTTAATAACAGATGTTTTTTTTTGAAGTTGTTTGGCAGGTGGTATGAAAAACACATACATATACTGTATTTGAATAATGGTTTTAAAAGGTACCAGGGTGAGAGATTATTTATAATTGTAACATGCTGTCAGAAAAGACTTTTACTTAACCCGGGTTTGACTTCTTTTTCCTCTCGGATCAAAAAAGGGGTGGGAGACCAAACTATGAACGATTCACTCATATTCAGTGGATTGCTGTTTAGATTAATTTAGCCAATCTCTTGGCTACCAAGCCACAGTTGTACCCACTTGTTAAAACTTCATATTTACAGAAAATGACTTTTTCATAGGTTTACAAAGCCATTTTGGAGAGTTACGTCGATGACACAACATCACAGCAAGGCTACAAAACCAGACAAATTCCATTTGCTGTTGATAATGCCAGGAGCCGAGAGTTTCATACCCTGTATGTGCAGGAGCAGATGAAAGTGTCATTTGAACTAGAGAGCCAATGGCAGCGAAACTTTGTCACTCTAGATGCTGGACGAGAATACGTAAGTTCATAAGAATAATATTAACCTACAAACAGGCTCTCATGTTCGTGAGCAGGCTCTCTTGTTTGGATCAGTGGCCCAAGACAAATTCACTCAGTAACACTAAAGCCCATGTGAAACCCAAAAAGAACCCTACAAACATGTGAGCCTTCTCACAGGCTGTTATATAGTTAACAAAACAAAATTGTTTAAATTATGACAACAATGATGTATTGATTTCAGATAAAATCTGAGTTTTTCAGTACATTATATTTCCAAGTAATTTTGTAAAAAAAAATTATGCTTGTTTACAGTTACATTGCAATGTTACAATGTATTAGACATTATTGGAAAAGCTATTTTTGGAGTGTTGAATGACTGAATCCCAGCATTTTTTTCTCTTCGACTTTCTCCGCAATACTTCATGTGTTCACTAATATTATGTTTACATAAAAAATATCAATTTATATTAATTTTACACTTTGTTACTCACCATAAATTATCCTTGTACTTTTAGGTTTTCAGGGTTCCAAACATTCGCTGTGAGAGTGAAAACAGAGTAGCACCAGGGGCCAAGTCACATTTTAGGGTGGAGTATACTGGTGGACCTGGAAGGCTTTGTCAAGAACAAGGCAAAATAACATTGACAGTTGATTCAACAGTGCAGTCTACCCTGTTTTTCTCCATTGCTATTTGGGTAAATCTTAATTTTCCTTCAAATATCACAATGCCCTGTTAGTGTGCAATCAATATTTCGTTACACAATTTTTGCTGTTAAAATGCTTTTGAGGATAGGACCTCTATTAAAAGAAATTTCAGTCCCTTTTATATTTTACAGTTACTTTCTTAGTATCCGCAGCTGTAGTGCTGGAAATGCACTAAAATTTGTATTGACACTTAAATAAAGGTTATTATCTTATCTTTACAGTTAAAACAGGCGCTACTTTTTGCTAAATGTTCTATTTTTGTTAGCTGTTGTGATTCATTATTCTAGTTATATACGTGTTACTCCATCAACGAAAAAGTAACAATATTGTTTTCAATATTATTCTTGTCACAGTGCTATAGCAGTTGGTGTTTTACCTCAGGTTTGTCTTCTCCACAGGTTCCAGACTGATGGGAAGAAAAGAAAACAACTTGCAGAAAGATTAATTCTACATGGAGTACTCAGGTTCTCTGTCCCATTGGTAATGTTGTTAACACATTATTATGATATTATTGTTAACTGTTTTCATTAAGATAAAAAAAAACCTTGAAAAAAGAAGAAAAAAAGAAAAAAAGAAAGGTGATTACTGTATATATCCACAGGAAACTGGTTCATAAAATTAAGGCCCAGTAAGCCAATAACCAGTTTTGCTTTTTAATAGATCAGGCTTTGAGACTTATAGATTTAGAGGCTGGCTGTTTTGCTGTTTTTAAGAGTGTTTTACTTATGGGAGATAACTAGATAGTCAATGTTTGATTAAGGTGAAAGTAAGTAAATAGTTATAGTGAAACAAAAAATGAAAAACAGAATTATTAACAAGTTACACAAAGTAATGACAAAACAGTAGACTGCCACTGTCTGTTGGTAGTTACCAGTAGTAGCAGCAGAGCATGTTTATACATTGTGTAAACATTACATACTGTTCATCTAAATGATACCTGTTATCCGGAAGACACAAAACTGAGGTTATCGAGTCTATTCTTGCCCATAACTGGATTATGGACTGCTGCACATGCAGCATACATGTATTATTGAGATGAGACAAACAAACTGAAACGTGTCTTCAGTGAAGAGGTTAAAACCTGACCAGAAAAATTGCTCTGTATAGTGAGCAACAAAATATTGGCAAAGGTTGACTTTTAAAAAAAGAGTCATCAAAAACTGTCAAAGTACCTTTTTCAGAATTCCACAACTTTGCACAAATGTTTTCTTTTTAATGTTCAGTTCCTAAAATTGCTAGGTGAAAATTCAGGGGAAGCTGTCCAGTAAAGCCCCTCTCACAATTCAATTTAGTGGGGGTTTTTTTTCAAAGTTAAGTAGAATCTAACTACCGCACTAAAGGGCCACCCAACAATGAATAATCGTTCTTGTTGGGTTTCAAAAATTTACCAGTGTGGAATTCTTAATAAGGTCCTCTGGTGGTATGTTATGGTTTACAACCCTTGTAAATTGATGGATTGATACTGTCACAATAAAAAGACTAATTGATGTGAGTAATAGTGTTCAAAAAAAGGACTGACATAATAGATTACCACAGAAACAATAACTTGTTAAAATGCCCTTAATTTTAGCTTGTGTCATTTTAACTCAAAGTGAACTTGGGCAATCTAATGTTTTGTTATCAAATAGTGCCTGGCATGTTCAGATACCAAACACATTTAAAAAGGATCAGACTTCTGAGTTACATCAAACAAACATTTTAGGATGTTTTGAACTTGTCTAAAGAACTTTTCAAACTGCAAGATATTTTAGTCATCATTTGATAACAAAGATGAATCACTAAGCTCAGTTTTGAGTTTTAAGCACTTGAGCTAAAACTAAGGGTGTTCTGACTACTTACTTGAACTCAAGGAAACTTAAT